TTTTCATTCCATTAGTCCCTGCTCGCAAAGTGCTCCCCCCACCTCTCTTACTTATGGACCACCCCCTTATCACTGACCTGGATAAAGACTATATCCGCCTAAAGTGGATCCCATCCTTCCCAGCTGATGCCCATCAGACCTATACCATTGAAATGTCCGAGCCACCTTATAATCAGTGGCTGACCATCAAAGGTGCTGTACAGGGCACGGAGTACACACTGAGAGATGTGCGTTCGAACAAAGACCGCATGTACAGAGTGCGTGCAGACGGACCGTATGGCCCTGGCGAGCCATCAGAACCAGTTTCTGCTAAATTGTTCATGAAGCCAGCTGAAGGTACTACACTGGTTTATTGTGAGCAAGATACATTCTGGGAAATTGAGTAGATATGTTTTGCTTTGAAGTTACTTTTCATAACCTATTTTTGACTTGTTACTTTTCCCTATTAGTTTACAGAATAATATTATTTTACAGAATTCCTTTTCTGCTTTTTCTTGGCTTATATTCTTTACTGGTTGTTATTTTATTACTGAAAGAACTCTGCTGCCATGTAAATCTTTTGTCAGCCTGTCACATATTTTTAAGGGACAATCCAGTTCTTATTTACACTTTTTGAAGAAACTTTGATTTTCAAATAATTTGTCACATTATTTAGTACATCTTTTCTTCATTCTTCAGCTGCACCTGAACCTATCCCCCTTGCTCCCCACCTGTTTGTGGATAAAATAGATAACAAACGTATCTCGCTGGGTTGGTCCCCCACAAGACTGCCAGCATATGACCATTTCTCATCTGTTAGTTACACAGTGGAGGTCAGCAAGCCACCACACTATGAGTGGCGACCTCTGGTGACCAGAATTAAAGACACTTACTTGAGCATTGACTTGAATGAACCACACAAAGACTACTATTTCCGAGTGCGTGCAGAGAATGATTATGGTATCAGTGAACCATCTCATCCAATTGCCACTCGAGATTTTTTCAAAGATAGGCTGGAGCCATCAAAGAGCCTTTTGCCAGATCACAGGAGGCCGTCAGAGTTTGACAGAAAAATGCCTGCTGCCTTTGATCTGGCCAGACCACTCACTCTACCAGAGTTGCATCACCCTGGGGCCTTGGGACTTGGTCTGGATGGACGTGGTCAGTTGGTTCCCTATGGAGGCCCTGACCTGGGACTGGACACTATGTTTACACCAGTGTTGCCAGACACCTCACAATACAGAGGTCTGGACCTGGCTCCGGAACAGAAACTTTACAAACCACCATCTGTGTACAGGCATGCCAAGTTTGATCTGATCATGCCTCTATCTTCACCTTACAAAGGATTAGACTTGGCCACTGAGGTGTCACTACCAGCACCTCCAATGCAATACAAGCCAAGAGAAATGACAGTTCCAAGGCAAGTGCAAAGAAAAATGCGTGCACAATCACCTGTCATCACTATTGATGTCATATTGCCTGGAAGACAGGAAAGGTCAACTTATCAGCCGTATGTACCACAAAGCCAGAAGGCTGTTAAAATTCCTGCTATACCAGCAGCAGTAGTGGAATATAAATCACCACCTCTTGTTGCCCACACGGCAGTAAAACCAGCAAGATCAAGGAAAAGTTTGGCTGATAAGTACAAGTCAGATCTTGTACCATATAAACCTAAAACATTGGACTGGGATATGGAGTCACCTGAACGTGGAACTGTCTCTCCTCAAAGAGGACGACTAGCACGGACACCCTCTTTACCCCCTTACAGGCCTTCCTTACCGTCTATTGAAGAACTGAAAAATAGAATCCCATCTTTACCATCTTCAACCTTACCCACTGTAGACACTGATATATATCAGAGACGCCCCTCTGTTCCTGACTTACGTCGCTCTCGAAGACCATCTGTTGTGGCGGCAGATCTGGATATTTCTAGCAGGCGCCTTTCTGTGCCTGACGTAGGACTAACTAGAGCACCATCTGTCAGAATGGAGGATCTCGACTTAAATGTTTATCGTAGGAGACGCACATCTGTTCCTGACTTGAAATTTGACAGGGCATCATCTGCAGTTCCTGATATTGAAGAACCTCTGTATCGCAGACGTTCTTCCATAACTGGAGCATTGCAGCGGAGAATGGGGGAGCTTCCTGAAGACAACACTTATCGTTTGGAATTTGAAGATTTGTTGTACTATAGACGACCTTCTGTGCCTGACTTACCCTACCAAAGACGATACTCTGTCCCTGAATTACCTAAAAGACGCCCCTCCACCCCTGATTTGAAAGGTACTGTTTTTCTTTTAGTTCAGTCCTTTTTGTGAACCCTATTTTATGTTGCAACTAAATCTGTTGATATGTAAATGCTATTTTGCATCATCAAAAAAGTATTGATAATTTGGCACATGTTATTTGCCTGCGAAAAATGACTTTCACAGATTCTCACACTGGGACTCTCTGACACATGTATTTATATCTAGCTTTACCTGTTTATTTCTTTGGAATTGCAAATTAAGCACATTTTACTCTGAAAAAGATCACAAAATGTGTCTACTTGATTTAGTATTTTATTTTTATTTTAAAAGCTTAAATACATTATCTAGGTGCAGGGCATGATTTTGATACCAGTATGCCAACAAGAAGAGCAATGGGAGACATGGGTAAGTGGGTGTGATGGACAACAGTGGAAACTGTGGCATGGATGGTGGCATTTAAAGGTGTACAATGGGCATTAATTCTTTATACAGTATAGCAAAAAAAAAATTTTTTTTTTCAGGAAAATTTTGGAATATTTACCTTTATCACAAAAGTATAGCCTATCCATAAACATCAAGAAAATTTCAATATATAAACCCATTTTTGAGTTATTAATTTCTCATTTCTACCATCATGATTGAAATTTACCAGCCTCTGTCCTGATTACTAGCATGGGGGTGACTTGAAAACTGGAAAATTAAACTAATGACTCAAACACAGGTTAATGGATGACAAATCTGTGAACAGTTTTGTTGTTATTCCTTGCTGCATGCATGATAAATGGAAATTTTTGAAATTTCAATGATAATTAAATATTTGCTATCCAAGGGCTAATGCTCAGTATCTGCCTTTGCTTATAAATGATTTGTGAAGATGACATAGGGTATATGATACATTTCAGATTTTAAAAAAACTCATAAAAGTACATAGAAATAATGTTGTCATGGGTGCATCTCAGATTTAAGTTTGTGATCATCAAATATAACTTCAGATGCTCCACGGGTGATCCTAGACAAGCCTCGTCTTGAGGATCTGGGAGATGGCAGCATTAGAATTACATGGACCCATAGCACCTTACCTGGGTTCAGCCCACGGACTCCAGAGATAAGGTACATCATTGAGGTCAGTGAGCCGCCAAGCAAAATATGGAGGAAAGTCATAGGGGCACTTGCTGAACCTAATTATGTAATAAAAAATCTGCGTCCTGATCAGGATTATTTGTTTAGAGTTAGAGCACAAAATGACTATGGAGTAAGCGAGCCATCGCTACCAGTTTCTACATTTTCACTGTGGAGGATTCAGAAGACCCCATACCATCCAATCACAGGAGTGGATATTACTTTTGATAAAGGTAAGAACTAATTTGGCTTTAATTCTTTTTTCACATTCATTAGTTAAAATGTTCAATGCAATTTAAATATTGTTACAGTACAATAAACGGTTTTTGCCTGCATTTTTTGTTACAGTAATAGTTGAATATAGTGCAAAAGAGAATTGTGTGTGTAATTACAAAGTAATCTGTCAAATTATCAAAGTTCTTGGCTGCCTTTTTTCTTTAATTTAATTTGAAATAAAAACAAAACTAAATTGATTCAATGATGTGCAGACATAGTGGCTGTAATAACAATGATAATAATAATAATGATGGTGATAACCTTTCTCTCAACTGAAAAAATTTTTACAATAGTCCTCAGGACTATTAAAACAAAGCAAGATAATGATAAAAGATTGCAGATTAAGTAAAAAGTTTAAACAATTTGAAAGTTACAGACAAAATACACTTTTGATTGTTTATTTAGTGCCTCCTCGGTTAAGTGAGAAACCTTACATCACGGGCTATGACAACCACTCACTACGTCTCCACTGGTCACCAGTGGTCATGCCTGGACACCTTGGGTCACCACTGGTCACTTACACTATAGAGATGAGAGAGCCAAGTCAGCAGTGGAGAGAACTGGCCACTGGAGTCAATGGGCATCACTTCAGTGTCAACCATTTAGATCCAGAGAAGGATTACATGTTCCGTGTCATCCCTGTCAATGAATATGGACCTGGTGAACCCTCTGTGCCTGTGCCGACATATTTGTATAGGAAAAGAGGTGAGTGCTTTGCCAGACATTGGTTCTCCTTACTTGTGACATAGAGGGCATTCTGTTCAATCACTTATTCTTTGCTACACAGACATTATAAATTAAAATGAAAAAGGAAGGATCATTAAGTAGAGCTTTCACAAGACATCCATCCTTGTATTTTTTGGTTTCCTTTTGATTGTGTATTTGAAAAAGACAATTCACTATATCAGTTTAGTTTTTGATTATATTGTGAAAACAAAAATTAGAAAAACAAAAGCTCATTTGGTTGATAGTGTGGACCTTGGTTTAAAGACTTGGTTTATGTTTTCTTCAGCTCCATTTGATTATCGTCCATCGCCAGATTTTTACAGAGACAGGAGAACTGAAGGTAGGTGGTGGGGAGGTAATAAGCAGCTTCTTTAGTACAAATTCAAATAGTGTATTTGCATTTTAATATCTGAATATTCTATGGAGAATCTCTATTTTTTCTATATCATATATTAAAACTTCTGAATGTCAAGCAGGTATTTGAGTGTTATTACTACATTTTTGGAAAATCACAGTTGAAGTCTTTTATGTACTTGCAAAAATTATTTTGATCATAGGAATTGGTTTTACAGTGCTTTTGATTAATATGATTGGTAAATTTAAAGTCTACCTTAGAAATGCTTAATACTCTGTGATATTTGCCTGAGAAAACATTCAGAATTTTCAAATTGGTATATTTGTAGAAATAAATTCTCAGATATCTAATGATACAATACTGCAACCATATTGGCTGCAGACTATTTCTACATTTTCTTAAAATCAGCTGGGCTTTATATTCTATTCACCAATATTTCCCTCAAAAGATGTTAAAAATGCTATCTTTGATATTTTGGCAACTGCTCTTATGTATTAAGTTAACTGGTTTTGAATTTACAGCAGTTCCTTCTTTAAATCAATTAGTTGAGTAATTTTCAATAAGGACAATATTGGTGATTAGATTTCACTTTGTTTTCTCCTTGCAAGTGTCAATTGTGCTTTGTATTTATTTTGTAGAATTTTAGTAGACTTTTGTCTTGTGGTCACTGATTGCAGACTTCTTCAGCATCAACTTGTTTTGCACTTTGCTTTAATGTAGCAGTAGTAAATTAATTTTATTCCACTTTTGATATTGTTTATCCTATCTTTAAGTTTTTGATACAATTATAATGAAGTTTGTTATTTTCTCTGTGTGTGTGGAATGCTCAACTTGATTCACCCTTCAGATTATGATAAATCCAGAAGATGGTCCCTTCCCTATGCCCTTTCACCTTGGTTCACTGAAGAACCTTCACCAGCACCACCAGCACCATCCCGGAGCCACACTAGAGCCAGGAGTCCTTCACCTTCCTCTCTGCCATCTGCTCTTATTGGACTGTCGTCTGCTCTCATTGGGTCATCACCCAGAGCAACGTCAGTGCCACCTGAAACTCTTTATTCTTTTGACACTTCTGATATTAATGACTATGGTGGTAAGGGTTTGTGTGTTTTGTCTTCTCTTTACTCTCTTTGTCTTTACTGTCCTGTGTTTGAGAAATCACTTGGGCTTTGAATGTGTTTTGAAGTTGATTATAGAATTTAATGGAAATACATGTATGTGTTTGACTCTAAGAAACTACAGAAATTAAACTGATGCATTTAACTGAAGTAAGAAAAAAAACAATGGGCTATTGGAACTTGATGTGCAATCATTCCATATTACTGAACAGAACATTGCTACCAAATTAAAAAGATGTAAAGAAAAAGGTGACAATGTTTATACTTGTGATTGCATATGAAAGAATTGCATGGGCTGCCCTCTGTCTGAAGTGTTATTGTGGTGCTGTGTCTTGTGTCATGCTCTTTGTGTTTATGATCTGACAAGAAGGACTGGATATTTTTGAACATGAATAAATAACTGTATAATAATATAAGTGTTCACAGATTGTAGTAGTTGTTGTTTTATTGACCTGAATGAATTATTGTTAAAAAGAATTAATGAGAAACCATAAGATGTGGAAGGCGATCTAATTCATTTTGGCCAGAAACATTTTCAGAATGAAGAGAATTATTTTCTAACATAGAAACACAACATCATTCCAGCTCCACCAGAGTTCCTGCCTCACAAGCCCACCATCTGTGATTACCATGGTGATTCTTTCAAACTGTCATGGTCACCAGCACAGACGTCAGATAAGGGTATCCCATCAGCCATCACTTACATTGTGGAGTGTCGGGAGCCACATCACACTGACTGGAGACAGCTTGCCTCCAATCTAACTGATTTCTGTTATACTGTGAGAGGACTGGATAAGAACAAGGACTACATACTGCGTGTGAGGCCGGAGAATGAGTTTGGCATTGGCGAACCAACCTTGCCAGTATCCACATACTTGTTCAGAAAACCAGGTAAGAATTTTACTGCTTGAAAGGAAAGAGAAGAAAAACTCTTCTTGATATTTGTGTAGGACATATTCCCAACTTTATCAGTTATTTTTACGGTTGGTAGCCATGTTTGTTGCTGGACCATTCTTGGGTATATGTTTTACCTGTCCTCATGGATACCTGTGTGAGCATCATGCTCTGAAATTTTAAGGGTGATCACAGACAGAAATGCAGCATTCCTGGGAACTGACAACAAATTGTTGGATATAGATTAATTCTTTCCTCGCACAGAACATTCTCTTAGAGAATATACCAATGTTTAGCTGTCAGGTTACCTTTCCATGCTATTTCCTATGCACAAATGACTATACTCTGTACATCTAATTTATCTTCTTTTGTAAAAATATTGCACATCTTACCCTTCCTCTACTTTCCCTTGCACAGATAAGGAAGACTATGGGCTATATTACAAACCAAGAAAGGGTAAGTGGCATAGAGGATGAAATATAATATGTTTTAGGTGTAGAAATGTAGTAGACTCAGAGGCTTTATTATGTTTTACCCATGCAGTCTATATGACAGACATATTTATCCATAAAATTTGGATAAACCATTTCTTTGATTTCAGATTTCTCAGAAATATTGGCTGCGATGCTCCTAATGTATAGAGAATCTTGCATATTTGACTCTGTTTAGCAGTGATCATAACAAATGTAATTAATCCCCTTCAATACAAATGTAGCTAATTGCTTTATATAGTTTCCATCATAACAACATGCTTAGGACTAAGATTATTTGATTTCTATACAACAGACATGCGTACTTAACACAGCTGTCTAATGCTAGCTAGCTAGATGCATGCCTGTCTCTTCCTGTCCTTTTAGCCCCAGTCTTTTTCATCGACAAACCACGAGTCTCCAGATATGACGGCAGGCGAGCAGAGCTCAGCTGGTCACCTCCTAGCACGCTACCCATCTATAGACCCCCAAAGCGCTACTCTTACGTCGTTGAGTTTGCTGATCCTTCTCTCAATGACTGGAAACCCCTTACAAGGGGTCTGCATGATAATAGATATGTCATAAGGGATCTGAGGCCCGATAAGGAATATTTGTATAGAATAATAGCAGAAACTGAACGTGGTGTCAGTGAACCCACATCTCCTGTTGCGATCAAGGGAGCTGCAAGGCGAGGTAAGTTTGACACTGCCTGTTTATTTCAAGTGTCATTGTTGATGATGGGAAAATATTCTTGAAAAAAAATTTTTTAAATCAACTTAAAGAGACTGTTCAGGGTTTGTTATTGCCTTATGTTTATTTATGTCTAAATGCCTAAAGGCATGTTGCATCTCTTTTAAGTACTGAAATAACTTATCATTATAACATGTATTTAATGAAAAATAAAAATGCAAAGAATGCATGTAACCATTTACTTGGCCTGGTTAAGGAAAAAGAACTGTTAAAACATGCAATAGGGTGTGGTTTTTTATCCAGCAGAGTGATGGTTGACAGGAAAATTTGTTGAATAATTTTTTGTCCCAAAATTGTATATGCTGTCTTCTTTGTGTTCAAACCTAAAAACTACATTCATTGCTCCAAATTATGAATCATGTGCAACTATTTGCAAAGTGTATTTTCATATTAAACATTTATTTTTGTATTGATCTACAGTAAATCTGTATGATATATACTAAGCTTGTCTAACATGAATAAGTAGTTTAGACATAGGAAATAGTGCTGTAGTATCTTGTATTTCTATCTGTAATTAGTTGAATGAATACTAAATCTAACAACTGATTCCAATTATGCATTGAATCAACGTATCTTTATTATTGGTAAAGGAATTTTTACAATTCATTGGTGCTAATTTTGCATTGATTCAGCATTTCCATAATATTTTTTGTAAAGAAATATTTATTTTCATTCTGTTATCCATTGATTAATAAACCAAAACTAAACATAGCTTTATAAATTGAACTTATACTGTATAAATAGACCTTTATTTGAAGTGTACAGTGAAATGTGTTATTTGCACTTTTTGAAAGTGTAAAATGAGTACATTTAGCAGTGAACAGAACAATATAAACAAACTTTAACTTTAAAGCCACAGAAATGTGTTTTAACTCTCTGTTTCTTCTGTCCACATTCCCACTGGTTCTCCCATTCCTTACAGCTTCTCTCCCTGCTCACATGAGGGATGAGTACTCTCCAAGAAGCAGATCCTACTCTCCAACCACTGCTGGCAGATCCCCTCTGACTAAAATAACAGGTAGAAAGCTATAATATTCAATTTTAGATGGGTAGCTCAATATTGAAATATAGGCTCTTAATATTGGACAGACTCATGCATTTAAAAGACTAATTTTTATCAATTTTCAGATAAGCTTGAACAGTGCCAAGAAGTTTGTTTCATTTTTTTGCTCAGAAGTTTGCACTATCAGTTTTATAGCTATTAAATTTGATAATATATAATTGCAATATTTACAACTGCATATTGAGAGAGGTGAATAGCCTGCTATATGATGGAGAGAGAGAGAGAGAGAGAGAGAGAGAGAGAAAGAAACATGTACAAAGTAACAATTTGAAAGAACTTCTTATGGTGTGCTGTTATTATTCTTATTTACATTCATTTTAGAGAGAGACCTTCCCCCACTCCCTCGTTCTCACTCACTGGATGCAAGACCCACTCAGACCTCTACTGAGAGACCTTATGCACCATCAGGAAGATCCTACTCTAGCACTGAGAGATCTTACTCCCCTGTTGGCAGATCCTTTACTCCTGTTGATAGATCCTACTCACCAGCTGGTCGATCTTACTCTCCAACTGGGAGATCTTACTCTCCAATCAGAAGTACCTATTCGCCAGCTGTCCGCTCCTACTCTCCCACCAGCAGAACTAAAGGTTAGATGGTTTTGCTGTCAAATCTGTGATATTTTCATTTCTTTCACACCTACCACACTTAACTGTTACATTTAACACATTTAACTGAAATGCCATGTGTACCACGCTTCACTTTCACTGCAACTTTTGATTGTCACATCTACCGCAGTTTACTTTTACATTGTCATTTATACCACAGTTTACTGCCATGCTTAATTCATTTTATCTATCATTTTTTCCAGTCTATGTTGCACTATTGACCATAATGATGATCATATTTTCTATGTTAAACTTTTCTGTGCTTTAACTCACTATTGTTTTACAGACTATGAAAGATCCTATACCCCATCCCCATTGGCTTCTGGCAGAAGAGGTAATTTCATCTGTTTCATGTGGAGCAGTTACATTTGCTTCTGACAGACTTGTATATGTACACTTAATTGTTGTGTTCTCTATACATTTTATCTTTTAGATTGTTAAGAAAGTGTAAATATAATATAGAGTGCTTGACTTGTTCTAGGGATATGTCACGGTATTTGACAAAAATGTCATATTTTATATATTCTGACGTCTTGGTACATTTTCATGTATTAGGTTCCATTAGGTTTTAGATAATTTTTAACGTTCAAGTTTTAGTCATAGAATTTAATGCTCTCATGCTTTTTTTTTTTTTTTTTGTAAAATTTATCACCGAGTCATGGCACGTACATGTGTGTTATAACAATGCAACTTTTCTGGATTTATTTAATTCCTTACTTTAGAGAGCACATCTCTGTCACCCACCACCTGCACATGCTCTGTTCTT